CCTGTACCGGCGACGGACAGAAGCTCAGAGTGGTTGCCGACTGGAGATGGAGGTGAATTCATCACCAGAGAAACGAACATTTTCAGTAAAAAAATAAAAGGAAAAAAATTAAATCGAATTATGAAGACACAATATCCCGACAAATGGGAACAAATCGAAATTGAAAAGGTATTACGGCAATTGTGGAGCTCACCTTTAGGCCCGACGGAGTTACCGAACTCTACACCCAAAAAAAAAATGGCGTCTTCGTTTCTGCAGAACCTAGGGCAAAATGCGCGACTTCAAAAATTGTTCAACGAAAATTGCGACAGATGAAAGTAAATCAAATTTGAAAAGCAAAGCCTGAGAAAGAGAGGAGCTCATAGTTACGAACAAGAAGCTTCTACCACCTAGCAACAATGGCGTCGCGTCGCTCGTCTCTGCAGGTAGGGAAAAATGGCCGATTTTTCTTTTTATTGGTAACAAACACGTAATTGCTTAGAAAATAAGGGGTAATTCTGTCTGTTTGCATCAAAATTGAGGGCAAGAAAGGCATATTAAAGATGGGATTATTTTGTCACAGGGGGGAGGCCGGATTTTTTTAGTCCGAGATTGGCCGATAAGGGCGCGCCACATGGGCGCCAACTCAGCATATTCCCATCCCACTCCCGTTAAGTAAACGCAGGATTTTCGGGATTATTTTCCTTATCCTGTCCTATCCGACAAAGTAAACGACGCCTAAGAGATAAATCGTGGTCTTGTAGTTTCTATACAATTCTTTTACATGGACAATCCCGAGTAAAAAAACTCAAAAGCTATTCAATGCAAAAATAAAATACTAGGTCTAGCATACATGCCAACCAATAAAAATACTCTAATATGTTTTCTTTTACTAAAAGAAAATTTAAATTAGAAATAAATGATGAGTGTTTGGGTTTGTACTCGGGTCCAAAATAGACCCACGTGTAGACTTGGTCTCTTTTTTTTATTGCCACATAAACTAGACTATGACCACTTTTAATTGCATTGGGAGATATTTTTTAATAAACTATGTCTATTTCCTATGTGGCATATGATATTTTATTAAGAGCATTGTGGGTGGTCTTAACTTTAAATAAAAACACTAGATTGGGTTGTGTTGTTGNTTTAATATGTTGCAGCTGTAATGTTATTTTAAAGTTAATCTTTTGGTGCTTTTGAGTTATTTTAAAGTTAATCTTTTGTTGCTTTTGAATATGTCATGTTTTAATTAATTTAGTTTGAATCTCTTATTCATAGTCATGATGACGCATATTTGTTTAATCAAAATGTAAAATTGATGTAAGCCAAAATTATGAAAAACTCTTTAACATATATACATCAAATAACATGAACACAACCACATAAAGTAAGAAAAAAGAAAATAATTCATCCAAGATCATCGAACAACATGAAAATAACCGAGATAAAAGGAAAAAAAAAATGCTATAATATCCAACATCAAATATAAAAGTGAAATTTTATTTATAATTTTTCAAGGATTATGAAAAAAATACAAAAAAACAAAAAAAATAACAAAAGATAAGTTGATTTTAAACTTCAAATCTACGCAGTGTTTTTCAACCCGGACCGGCCCGGTGGGTCGACCCGGAGCTGGAACCGGTCCGGGTGGGATATTCGGACCGGAAAACAACGGACCCGGTCAGACCCGGTCAAAACCCGGTCAACCCGGCACTGACCCGGTCGACCCGGGGCATTGACCCGGCTGGGTCAACCCGGTTGACCCAGTCCTATATATTTTTTTTTTATTTTTTTTATTTTTTAATATATTTTTTGTTTTTAAAAAATAAAACTATTTATATATATTTATATGGTCAATATTCATCATGAAATACATATTATTAGCACTTTAATGTGCAAATTTTATATACAAAATATTTAATTTTGTTATTTTTAGGTATATTTATTAGACAAAATACTCTATATATAATGTAAAAAAAATTAAAATTAATTATCCGGTTCAGCAATTGACCCGGTGACCCGGCGGTTGACCCGGTGACCCGGTGACCCGGAGACCTGCCCGGATCGATTCTCGGGCCGGGTTTAAAAACTATGAATCTACGCATGTGGATTTATTTATTTATTTATATTTATGTTGCTAGAAAAATTGTTTTATTAATGAATGAGTCAATATTTTTGCAACTAATTGAGTTTGAAATAAATATGAAACTGAAGCTATTTGGCTTAGCCATTCAATATTTTATTTGGTCTTTGGGAAGGTAAGGTGAGTTATTAATTCTCGTACATCTAAACCGTTAATTGCGGTTAATACTTTTTGGGAATAATAAATAATAGTATATTTTTTGACATTTTAATGTAACAACAAAAATATTTTTCTTATTGCTTTATGGTTTTTTTTTCCTGCGGTTCTGTACTTTTTGGAAGAGTTCTTGCCATATTTGGAATTCTCTGTCAAGTGAATTATTCAAGGAATGTGTATTAGTTATTTAGACAGTTGTGTCTTTTAGCTGGGATATTTGACATATACACTTCATTGTTCCGCATGCATTTGCAGTTTATTATTATTATTATTATTATTATTATTATTATTATTATTATTATTATTATTATTATTATTATTATTAAGTTATTTGGAGAGTTGTGTCTTTTAGCAGGGATATTTGACATATACACTTCATTGATCCGCATGCATTTGCAGTTTATTATTATTATTATTATTATTATTTGTTGTTGTCGTCGTCGTCGTCCCAAACTTAAAAAGGATAGGGTTGAAGAGAAGTGAACTAAAGGAATGGTCATAATCGAGTTCACAATAGCCTTTAAATGGTGAGCCAACATGGTTTGAAGCTACTCACATACTTAATCAATATCCTAATTATGAGATAAGATTATAATTAACTTGTGTACATTGGAATATGAATGTAAATTTGAAAATAAAATAAAAAAACAGATCTGATAAACTTGCGAATCTATTACTACATAATACAATTAAGAAAAAAGATTTGAAAAAATACATAAAATTAATTTCATTTTTCCGCTCAAATGTTTAATTTCCCCCTCAAATTTTATTTGAAATATTTGGCTAATGTTTTATATGGTAATAGATTTTATCATTACACTTCCTTTTTTTTAGCCAAATCTGATTTTATCATTCCACTTCCTTTTTTTAGCCAAATCCGATTTTTATTATAGTAATAGATTTCTCNAAAAAAAAAACAATCGGATATTGTTAATTGATACGTGATATGGTAAACAATCAATGATATTGTTAACAATCGGATATTGTTAATTGGTAAACACTCAGATAAGATTTTGATAAACAATCGGATATTGTTAATTGTTAATTAGTAAACAAATTTTCACGTGATAGATTTATATGTGGCTAAATTTTAGAATACGTGTATTTTGTATCCGTAATTATCTAACCTATATTCCTAACAGTACACGAAAATTGTGGGCAATTAAAAGGAACTTCTGATACAAAATATCTCCAATCTATGAATAAGTCCACCGATCAAAATCATATATGATCGCGTTCCTGCTCGACGGATCAGAAAAGATCAAGTCTCGGTTAGCAAACGATGGGAACACGACAAATCCTAATGGAAGACAAGCTTCAGGCAAGGAAAATGAATTTGGATTTCTTTGTTTTATTCTTTTTTAGATTTTTCTTCTAAGTTAATTTTTTCATAGACTTTCGTTCTTTTGATTTATTGGTTTTTAATTGTTATTAGCATCTAACAAATATACATAAGAGATGTGTGTGTGTGTGTTTTATAACAAAGCAAAAACGAAAAAATGAATTAAATTTTACGTTGTATCAGAAACAAAGGTATGTGTTTGTCGAATCGACCTAAACGATTTGAAGAAAATCGTTTCATTCGCCATTGCCAAGTGCCAACAGAGCTCCTCTACTATCTTATTGTTATTATCATTTTCAGAAAATATTTGTTTACATATATTTTGTTGGGTTCAATTTGTATTCTTTTTTATTTAATTTTGGGTGTTATCGTGGACGATGAAGGAATTGAAGGAGCAAGAGATAGCCTTAATCGGCAGAAAGATTGTGTCCGTCAAAACTTTAAAAACTTTTTGAAAATAAATTTGAATTATTCCATCTTCTACTCTATTTGAAATTCAAAATTAAATTTTTAAACATATTCATAAATATTATTATTTATTTTTCCTTATGTGATATAATCTAAATTTGGTTATTAGATTTTTAAATTCAAACATTTAAATGAAAAGACCACGAACATATTTTTTGGTTATATTTCATTTCATAGTCCTAACAAATTAATTAGTATAATATTTTTTTACCCACAATTATTTAATCGAATTTCTTAAAATATAATTAATATAATATTTTAACTATTTAATCATTTGTATAACTTGATTTAACTTATTAACAAACTCGCCAGATTCTGTTGAAATTAAAAAAAAATGGATGATTTTTATTTGTAAAATAATAAAAAATAACTCTACTTTAAAGTCTGAATTTTTATATTATTTTTTGTACGTTAATAACCATATATTGGATAATTGATTTAAAAAAAGTAAAATAAAAAATGTAAGGTTTAATAATATTCCTTAAATAAAAAAATATTTTATAAAGAATATATATTTTTTATTGTTTGTTATTTATTGTATTTTCATAATAGAGAGATGTGAAAAATATAAATAATTATATTTAAAATAAAGTCTAAAAAAAATTTAAAATATGAACTCCTCCGTGCACAAGATATACATTATTAAACGAATTATGTATAGGCAAGGTCTGCTCAACAATGATATGGCCGCACATTGAGCTGAGAAATTAAAAAAAAAAAATGACTCCATTTTCTGTAAAAAAAAAAAATAATTTATAAATTCTAATGCTTCTTCTATTAGTGAAGTTTCTAGAAAAAAAAAATATATCAAACGACGCAATGCACCTTGGGTCGCTACGGAAACAGCCTCCTTTTTATAATTACAAGAGTAAGGTCTGCGTACAACTGACCCCCAGACCCCAATCTGTTGGAAATATACTGAGTATGTTGTTGTATGTTGTTGTAATTTATAACTTGAGATCAATTATTTTTCAAGAGCCAGTTTATTACCTTTTCTTTTATCAGGCCCTTCCTATGAATGATTCAGTAAAATTTTTAGATAAAAAGAAAATAATTTCCTAACAAAGATACATATACCGTGCTAGCAATGCTCAATAATTACACTATACGCCAAGTATGTGACTTCCTTCCCATTTGTGTATACAGCTTTTCACCATTTGATCACTCCTCCAAACGGTTCGGGATAGTTCTGTCCACACGAGTACAATCAAATTTACCCGACACACAGTTGGATGGAACTTGCTGTATAGATATGGTTAGTGAATGAATATTCACATGAACTTATAATTAGCAAAGAGCAAAGGTAAACTGGTTAACTGTATAAATTTTCCCAATCATTGACTGCCCTTGTTTTGCAAAAATGGAATCTTTTTTGAAGTGGTCTTGGTCCCGTTGTCTTTCTGTCCATCCCTCTAATGCATACATAACCTGAAAAATTATAAAACAGGTAAATTATTAATTTTCTTTAAAACAAAAACATTTAAAGACCCTTCAAAATAGGTTAAGCTGCAAAAGAAAGACTTAAAGTCTAACATAATTACAAAATAACCCAATAACTTGTTTCATTTTTACTCTGTAAAGAGTAAGATATTCATCAGGGCTAATATAGGCACGATGTCTACAGTACTACAATATAGTAACTTTATTTTTCTATAATTTACTTAAAACTCAATTTCCAGTGGCACAGAGTATAATGAATTCATTGTCCATTAGACCACACTAGCATGTCTTTTCTAACAAAGAACATAATAATTCTCACCTTCATGAAACAGAACAGAAATATCCTCCATCGACATGCCTGGATTACAACACAGAAATATGTAGAATAAGACGTTATATTCAATTTGATTGATCACATCAAATCCAATTTTCATAGCTAACGGTCAAATGCTTTTCAGTACAAGCGTCGATTACAAAAGCACCAACATAATTGTGCCTATCTGACTTACAACTTCACGTGGGTACAAATTCTAAAGAGTCAACAAGCTAACAAGTGACAAAAAGCAGAGGTAGGAAATTAAAGCATATACTTTTGTTCTATTGAATTATTATCACTTACTGCTAGACAAAAGAGATCGGAGAACAAGACAAGTGAGTCAAAATTTTACTCTTTTCAAATAGCATGTAGAATGACTTTTTTCCCGATGACCGAAGAAAGGCTTTGAAGCGAAAATAAAGTTTATTTGGGATAAAATTAATAAATGATTTTCGTACTTCGAGTTTTCTAATCTATATCTATATATATATATAAAGAGGAGCAACATAGCATTTAATTATATTATCATGCATTAAATTTTATTATCCCTCCAATATTTTCAACATTCAATTTCATTTTTAAGTTACAAAATAACTTGTTTGAATGCCATAAATTATGAGAATAAACCAATCAAGGGAGTTACAAAATTGTACTCAAATTTTAAGTCACACCCACTCATGAAAATGGCCGGATGTATTAGCAATTAGCATAAAGAAAATGGTTGTAACGGCTCTTCCATTACAATACTTGATCAAAATCGATTTTAAGAATTATTTTCTTAATTCATATTTTTTCATGAATTAAATTATGATTTTTTTTTTATTGTTATCTTTTTAAAGTATTCTTCTCTGTGCACAGGTTGATTACTAGTTAGCATGATAATTTCCAATACAAGATTATATGCACAATAATAATTATATTACCTACAAACATATCAGCCACTATGTATTCGTATTTAAAATCTCCCAATTGATTCTCTTCCATACTATATTTTTTTGTTTTTTGCAAGTTTTAAGCAACATATGGCAATAACTCTTGATGTTTCTAAAATGCACTAATCTTGTCAAGTCAAGGAAAAGTGAGCATATATTGTTGGTTGATTAACTTCAAGGATCATGATGATGATTGTATATGTCAAGTGCAAACATGAAAAATGAATATTATTCACCTCTACAAATCGAGTGTATTGATGTCCCACAATACAATGGCTGTCTCCTTAAATTCCAAACCCATTCTCTGGGGACATCAATTGGTCGTAGGCTAGAATCATGGTCAGCAAACACCTGCTTGCAAAAACAATTTCTTTCAAACCTAATGGATTTATTTGTCATTTAAAAGATGAACCAGTTCTTTTGCTATAAGACTAAACATAAGGAGTAGTTTATGTAATTAAAATTAAATTTTGTTAAAGAAAGTGTAGTGTAGACACACCTCATTGACCTGAAAGTAGGTCCCATTAAGTGGAAAGGATCCTCTATTAGCTGTTCGGCACGGTATCTGCATATATATGTAGTTGGGAAAATGTATGAGTTTCTAGAATGCAGCTAGCATAGGGAACTTGTACAAAACAACATGAAAAGTATGTGTTAATTCTTCACCAAAATTGTTCCTTGAACCATCAGCTCATTTCGGTATTTAATGATTTGCCCTGAAGGAGTATTCAGGTCAGAGTTCGTCGATTCCTGACAATTATTTTCTTTTTTTGGATCTTGGGAAGAACCGGTAGTTTCATCTGTGAAGAATCACAATAATAATTAACAGTTAGAAAATTAGAAATATTAGTTAAAGATATTAATATCCTAATTAGTATGAGATGATTATGATTTTAACACAATCAAGCTCAAGAGAGATGTTCCACGCTTGAAATAACTAAATCAAGGACAAGCATTACAATTACATTCAAGCATTACAAATTACTGAATAGTAACCAAATAGGCACACTCCCAAACAGTTTGACGTCAGACAAATCTCCTAAAGTTAATTTTTAAAACGAAAAAATAACTTATCAAATACCAAAGAATATAACTACACAAAACTAAAAAACTACATAAAAAACAAGAAAGAAAATCCATTAATTTATTTAAAAAAAAGAAACATTTTGAAAAAAAAAATCAAAAAATTCTTAGGAATTTAAAAAACTATAGAAACATCCCAAGAATCTAAATGAATGAAGCATGACAGATTTGATACATTTATTAAATGAATCTTCTTTTATACAAGAAGTAAAGCTATGAATAAGTAATAGTTGATTACCTGTCATCCATATTGCAAGAAGGTAACGAAAACGATCATCTGTGTCCAACTCATCAAACTGCAGTACACATTAAGAATTTAAAAAAGTAAATAAATTACAGTTCAAGGTGCATGATGTAGAAAAAGGGGTAGTAGAAGAGGAGGCTAACCCCTGCCAAGAGAGGATGGGATAGCGGAAGCTCATACCTGCAATAAAATAGCTGAAATATAATTTCTCATGACAAAAACACCCAAACAAGTTTCAAAACTGCAGATACAAGTTGAGGTTTAATTTCATCTTACAATTCATTCACTAATCCCGAAAGTTAGTTATAATAAAACGAATTTGCTGACTACAAAATATTCCATAATTACATCCCTCAGACTTTCTAGTTTCTACAACCAGTAGCCCCCTACTATATTAATTAACGATTAAACTAAATATCATATGAAATCATAAACTTTTGATATTTTTCAAAAAGTACTATATGAATACTTACACTATGTGCTCAGTCCTCAAGCGCTTCACATCTTTAAGCTTGGGCCTCGGACAAGATGCCATATCCGGCCTCAAAGTAATCAATGTCTTGGACCCATCATCCTCTCTCTCTATGAAACTGAGATTGAGCGTAAGCATTTCCTTTTCTTCATCGTTGTTATCTTCAATTTCCAATGGAAAAACTGCATCCGCGTCAGTCTCCGGTGTACCCTCTCGCACTGGAGAATCCGGCATTTCTATGATTGGTTCACAATTCTGTGGTATATTCAAATTGGGAAGCATCACTAGGCTCGTCCTCACCACTGACTCCTGATTGAAACTTTCTGAAGACTGATAATGCGAGTTCTCCATTTGAGGGCCTTTAAGGCGGGGTCTAGCACTGCATTGAATAACGCATCAAATTGGTTTTAGCACGTGTTCAGATTTGTGAATGATCCACAAAAACTTAACCCGAATATCTGTTTTTCTTTTTTTATTTTTTTTTTTGGCATATAAATGAAATTATGAGATGACATGACGAACCTTGCAGACATGCTAGCATAGTGCTTGCAACTTGCTGTAAACGGGCATGCACTGCAATTTGGATTTTTCTTTGTACAGATTGTCTGTTGCAGTACTTACATTTTCAGTAAGTGCGAATAGAGCAAATATCAAGATACAAATCCATCAATATTTATTTAAACTGACCTTGCCAAAGAGTATAAGATGATAATGCACTTCATACCTGTACATTAAAAAAAAAATTAAAAAAAATCAGTACTCGGGCTAGCATACGAAAGGATACTTGCAAAAACTATCCTTCAAATTAAGCATAATTACAGAAATACTCTATGAACTTCGAATTATCTTTCAAAGTTGGATATATCGCATTGGAACCGGTACAAAGACCCCCAAGATTTGTATGCGTTGCAGTTTGCAAAATTGATTGAAGGGGCATTCGTAGTTTTAAAATGCAACTGAATTTTCTCTTTTGTAATTAAGCTAAACCTCCTGAGTAGTTCTTTTGCAATTATAACCCCCACATAAGAGTAAAGAATATAGAGGTTTTTCTGAATTACAATTTTTCATGTCTCATATGCTTAACACGTGGCCACAGGAACTGTTGGACGCTATCTAGATTAGGATAGCTGCAAAACAATAGTCCAAGTTAATTTTCCATGTGAAAAGTTAAAAAAATAAATAATAAAAAAAAAAACTAAAACTGATTAATTGGCATTTGCCCGTGCTTGTTAAACACTAACTCATTTAGATGGTGTATCTCGACACCCTCTGGTAGTGCCTGAAGAGGAACCCAACCTCTGCGCACAGCGACCCGAGCAATGTTCACATCAACCTATTGGAAAGAAGGAACATTCCCAAGAAAGAAGTAATACTCGATTAGTAATACCCAATCAGTTAAAAGGAAAACAAAAGGGGTAATTACACACAAACAACCCCCTGAAGTTCAGTTTGACTTAAAAAACTCGAATGGTTTCACATTTTACAAAGCCCCATTGGGAATTGCTTATTTGTTACACTGTAGCCCTTTTGCTATTATATAAATATAAGCATCTCAAACACACCATTACATTTTGAAAATTAGTAATTCAAGACATGTATTCAACTCAAGATGTTTTTCATAAATTTCAGAACGCTTAGGAATTTTTGTTCAAGAGCTTACCGGGAACGCTTGTTGTTGAAGTGCCAAAAGCCTCACGCATTCTACGCTCTTCAGGCCAAGGCCAGGTATACTTAGCAAGTAAGCCCTACAAAGTAATAGAATTGATATAATCAAAGACACCACTATAGTAAAAATATATTGGATAGTTAACAAAAATTTCCACATCATACTTTGTTTCCTCTGGCGTAGCATCTCTTAGCCACTCAAGGTCAATGTTGCCGTGATCTTTAACTAATCGCTCAAGAAAATCCTGCAAAACAGAATGTCAATTGAATTAATAATTTTCAGAACTAACATGAAAAAAAAATTGGGACAAAACGAAAGACCCCCAATTTCCAAACATATTCAGAATAAGCCGACGTGTTTTTGTAAAATTACAAAAACATAACCATTCAGCTATAAGTAGAAAACAAGAATGTACATTAAAAAATTGAAACATCGACAGGCGCTTCTATATCATTCAAAAGCTTTGGTTTCCTTGAAGTTATAAGTAGAAACCTCAAAGGGGTTTTTTCCTAATTAATTCTATATCTAAAAGTTCATGAAAAAATTCAATTTTTTCTTTATTGGTTTTGTCAAATAAACTTTAATCACCTTGATTCTTCTAGCAAGCAAATTATTCATTCCCCTCCCCATGATCGCTTTAGCCACCTCATCAACAGTCGCTTGTCTAACTGCCTCCCAATCAACAGAATCCATTGTACGTTCGGTTCTGTTTTTTGATACACCTTGGGAATATTTCACCCTTAACTTGTCCCAATTGGGAGGTTCTTTGTTTAACTTGTTTTTACCTTTTCCTCCTCCAGAGGTAGATTCGATATAGGAGGAAATTTCATTTCCATCATTTTCAATAATCAACGGTTGTCCGCACTCGTCAGAGGATAAGGATGGTGGTAAGGCTATTTTCACTTTTTCACTATCATGAATGACAATTTCACTTTTACCATCATTACCAATGTCCTCGCTCATATGCAGAGGCGGATATCTCTCTCTAACGGACATAAAGGCACCACTGCAAGCCAAATAAATAAACAAATAAACAGCAGATATAGAAGTAGAACAATATAATAATGGCAATTTAGGAAAAACTTGACGACCCACAATTTACCTGGAAAGGTTGTCACCAACATTTTGAGTCAGAAAGACTCCGACCACTGAATCAACAATGGAGCCTTTCCAGGCCGAGTACTTCATACTTCCTAAGAGAGTGACATTTTTCAACATCCAATGAGAATATATACTGCCAGATAATCATTAAACGAAATCCTTATAATCTTTTTCGTTTAGTCAATGGAAGAAATGTGAAATTGAAACTTCATAGAAACATAATTGTGATTTGAGTTCCTAAATCCAAAACAACATTTAGATGCCATAAAAGTAAACACAGTGTTTGAACTCTAACTACATCTGTCTATGCTGATCAACCAATGGTCCAATAGTTGCAATAAAAATGTGAAATAATGATTGACATTCTCGAACAGGAATCAATATAGTTATCAAGTAATGTACTTCATGTTTAAACTAAATTCCTTTTCATATGGTTTTGTCTGCACATAATTATTTTATGATGAGGGTTCGACTACCTCGCACACGTTAGGGTTAACCATCAGGGATAGGAAAATTGCTAAGCTAAGTAATATGAATAAGACGATCGCTAATCATCAATAGTGACATAATGGGAAAAAACATGTTAAATGGTTATGAGTATCAAGAATACCTTGAATGTGATATAAGATGGCAATGAATTCGTCGAACCGTCCTTCATATAATTCTCTTTCCACCTTCCAATAATTTTTCGTCTCGTCATCTTCACTCTCAGGATTGAGATCAACTCTTGGTATGATTTCTTGAGCTTCTCTCTCTGGATTAAGATCATGTTTTAGCATGATTTCTTGAGTTGGCACATTGAGGTTTAAACACTCCACCTTACGAGTAGCAAAATCAACTAGAGCTTTTGTAAAATCATCCCCTAAAACAAGGGAAAAAAAAAAATTGTCACATGACCCAATTTTGACAACAGACAAAATAGAGAAGAAAGAAATCCGAGAAAAAATATATTAAAATTCTTGCATCTCACAATTTTGGCTCTCTCCGAGATCCACATCTTCAACGCCGCACAGACCCACGAAAAGTGGTGTTTCCACATCTAAACCACCATTTTGAGCTTCCACACAAGCTGAAGAACAGTCTTCTTCGGCTACTCTAATAGCAGATACTCTTAAAAGAAAAGAGTCCGAGAACTGTAACAGGGAAAGATCACTGATGAATGATGATAAATTGCTCTCACGAGTGGAAGTCTTGGATCTTCCCTTTCTAGCCTTCCACGTCAAATTCAACGTGGATTTTTCAAGCGCTGCACGTTCAACTGTGACCGAGGGGAATTTCGATTTCCTTTGGTATAATGTTCGAGGCCTTGTCTTTCTATTCCTCATAATTTGATCTAAGTCCACCGGCTTAATTTTCATTTCCCGAGTAGTTGGAAACGTATTAACAAGCATAATGAGCTTATCAAACACAATCGGTTTCAGCCGCCTCATCCTGTGTTTCTTGAATATAAATGGAAAATTTGGACCCAACTTTCTACTGTTCTTCAAACACTCATTTGGCTTGAATATTCTCCTATAAACTCTCAAAGCAGTGAATCTGTTACTTTTTCTATCATAAACATTTGGACTCTGATTTGGGCTGCAATAACCGATGTCGAAATCGATTCTTCTTCTGCTAGATTTTTCAGTAGAATCGACAACATTTACCTGATCAATGGGTCTCAAAATATTGGCCGGGCGCTTTGGGGTAAAGAGGTTAGGGGTTGAAGGCATTATGTGTTTAGGAGTCAAAGCATGTTTCCTAATTTTAGCTTTATCAAGGACTTTAGGGCGGTGCCTCTGCTTTCTCAATCTTTTCCCTTCATTCCTAATCCTTGGTATGTCATTTGGAGCTCTGGTTGAGTCTGAGATAAACAAATTAACGTAAAATGAGATTATTGAAATAAAATGTTTCACATCATGCTCAATCAAGAAAAATACATGAAGTATTTTTTTTAAATGGAGATAAATGACTCCAACAAATATAACAAACATAGTATAGCATAATAGATTGCGTCACAACAATGTTCATTATGATTCAACAATTCCATCTTCAGATTCTGATAATAGAANCTGGCGTATCTGGCGCCAAAATACACTTTCCCTTGGACGTCACCGCCATTATTCGGTCAAGTTCTGCGCAAAACTTCAAGAAAATAAAAAAACTGACAAATCACCCAGAAAAAAAGGAATTAAAAAGAAAAACAAAAAAAAAACAAAAACAAAAAAAAACAAAACGCGATCACTACAAAGAGTAGAGTAAAATTACAAACCAACAAGCAAATCTTTACCTCAAGTACAAGAAAATTGGTGGAAGTTAGCGTGTGAAGGAGAAGGGACTAGGGAGAAAGCGAATTGGAAGAGAGTTGCAGTAACATGGACCGCCTGATGAATATCTCTGACCAGAGATTTCGCTTCCAAATTCGCGATGATGAAATTAATATCTCTGCCAGAAGATTTCCTTTCAAATTCTTTGAGAAGAATAAAACCAAAACTAAAATAACGCATACATTCTCTTAAGACATCTCCAAACGGATAAACCCTTTCTCAAACCCTATTAACGACTGTCACGTCCAACAGTAATTTATGTTCAACCGAATAACTCATTCTTAAATTTAAAAAATATTATGATAATATTCTGTTTCATATCAACTTTATATAATTTTTCAATACTATCAATATATTTAATAATTTTACAAATTAGCCCCTAATATTTTATATTTTATTAAAAAAAGTGATTGTAAATTAATTATATTTATTAACAAAAAATATTGAATACATATTTTTTCAGTAAATAAAAATTACATTTTACTTTATTTTAAATTTGAATAATATTTTAAACAGGTTATAGTTTTTGAATTTATTATCAATATTTTCTTGAAAGCTTTACAAATTAATTCAAACTTTTTTATGAATATCCTAAAATTATTTTTCAAATACTTTCATGATTTTTTTATTCAAATGACTATCATAAAAATATATTACAAATATTTTAATAATATTTTGATTAATTCTATCCTAGAATGTGCACTGTTTATATTAATATGTAATTTTGTTTGTGTATAATTCATATATTATTATTATTTTTTTTATTGTGAAAAGTAAAATAAAAGTATTTATAAATATAAATTAGTGAATAAACACAAATATATTACGGATATTGAACAATATATTTGCATGTAATAGTTGATAGATTTGGACATATAAAATTTAGAAGGTAAGTAAGCATATTAAAAATATAATAATAGTAATTTAATAAGTCATCATTATTTTTTAGTTTTTATTGCTAACATAACATAAATAGTAATTGTTTGACATAAATAATCATTCATAAATTTTGACTAATAGGTAACTAGTATTTGATCTTGTGCACATGACAGAGGGAAACAAAATTTTATTATTATATGTACGTATATGATATTTAAAAATTTAAATTAGATAAAATTTGTATTACATTTTTAAATTTTGACTATATGTAAATGTATAATATAAATAGAAATTATTTAACTTCCATATAAATCAGTTTTTTTTTTTTGTTATTGTATAATTATAATACAAAATAGGAATATTAGTAAAAAAATAATTTAATATTATATATTCAGAAAATTAAAAATCTTGTAAAGTTGTTACAGAATAAAAAATTAATAATAATAAGGTTTTACTTGTGTAACTGTTATTTGAATGGTAGTTATAAAGATGTTTATTAAATGTTGAACATATTTTTATTTATTGAACATCTATTTTAATTAAATGAACTCATATTATTATTAATTGTGGTTGAATAAAATTTATTGAAGCTTTCCAGCAATTATATATAAATTTACCCAAAAAAAAAAAAGTTCATACGCATTTGCGTCAAACGCAAATATGCTTTTGGTTGAGGAGAGAGAAGCCCAAAATATCAATTTGGGTCTGCGTTTGCAGTTCGATTGAGCTGAATTTACTATATTTTATGTTTTTGCGTATCGGCTGGAGTTGGTCTAAGCCCGAACGGGTCCATCTACATCCTAAATTAGCAAATTGGCGGATTAGTTAACTAGCTAAATTTAAATAATTAAATATCTATATATATTCTCATTATAGAAAACTTAATATAAATAATTAAATATCTATAGTAGAAGACCAGCGTCGTGCACACGGCCAGCCACGTTAGCACTATTCTTTGGAGCCAAAAGATTATCAAAGTAAAATACATTTAAACCATAATTAAAAAATTTGTCACTAAATATACCACATCGATGAATGTATAGACCTGTCTTGAAAACCTGAGGGAATGTGGGCCAGTTGCCACACTTCTTCAGTCTCCCTCATCATGTGGTCATGTTAGTTATACAACACGTCCACACACTCGTAGTTCACCCATTCGCTCTCGAGGATGCAAGGGCGTAGCTATATAGAAACTAGTACTAAGACTTAGGTATAACTAGAACTCAAAAAATAACTTAATACCTCATTAATAAAATAAAAAATAAAAATTAAGAATAATACTTACATAAACACACAAAAAAAAGAGAGAGAGAGAGAGAGAGAGAAATAATAGAGAAAATAAATCCTTGTTATAATAATTTTGGTGAAAGTAATTTTAACCTTCTTTATATGAAACTTGTAAGAAAAATTTACACACTTATTCGTATTTTTAACACTCTTCTAGTTAATTGATTGTTGTTTTTTTATTATTATTTTTTTTTTAAAAGAATCATACTACAATTTGTGTGTGGTTAAGAACTTAAATTGTAGACTTTTAAAACTTTTATATACTAATAAAGCATTTTATGCATTATAAAATATTTTTTTATACATTATAATTTATTTTTTTACATTAGTTATGGAGATTATTTTTGAAAAATGCCTCGAAAAAAAAGTACACGTTAAAATATTTTAAAATGAGATACTTTAATTCCAAATATACTTGAGGCAAATTCTAATATTGTTGGGCTTAGGCCAAAAGAAAGTGCTATGAAAAATTCAACGATGTTATTATAGGACAATATTGAGTTATGAAAACTCATAAGTATATTATGTGTGCAGTATCTATATTTTTTTATGATAATATAATATTTTTTTTCAAATAATAATTAAGCTCCCACTCATTCTATTGGCTAGATTCGCCCCTGCGAGGATGACCACCACTCTGCAAAAACCCGCACTGTGGAGTCTCCCTCGAACCATTGATGAAGACCACCACTTTATTTTCCTACCAGTTGGTCGATTAGGCTATCTAGAGGCACCGTTAGCTGCACATGACGGTCGGGGGTCAGCAGCAGGTCGGCCTTTTTGTGCGGGGAATTTCTGACTCATGTCAAGTTTCTGGGTTCGTTTCTAGGCAGGACTTTGCTAGTCGAGGCTATGTGCTCTTGCAACCACGATGTTCATGCTTTGGTAAGCGCATTTTTGTTGGAGTCCTCTACCACTGCAACCAACATAAAATAGATTAATTGCGAAAATGGATGAAGCACGAGCACAAAAATAACTACATGGTTGTTAGGGTGCACTGGGCCCATAATTTTTTAAAACATTAGGGTTGTAATAGTAATTTTAACTTTAATTAAATTAACTTGAGATGTTGGCAATTAAACTATTATGGAACGATATCACAATATAAGAATAATAATAACAAAAATGTAATGATGGTGTGTCATAGCAATTTTAAATATCCATAACCCATTTCATACATTTGCATTACAAGAGTTGTATTAATATATAGTTTACCCGTAGAACTTTTCTCCCATGATCATTTGGAAATAAATTTCTAGTTCGTCAATGATCATAAGAAAGGGTACATGCAGATTTAAATGTTACCTGGCAAGACAAAGAAACTCTACTTAAGTCTCTACTTACCATAAATGTTTGTTTTCTTTTTCCCATCAATAACTCTTCAAGTTGGGAGTTTGCAAATTAAGAGTATTTATTATAAAAAAATTTAACTATCAGCTCAATAATTGACAGTATTTCTTTTGTACTTGAAATCATATCCCCTTCACACTCTATATTCATGTGCCCTCGATGCTCCATATCAACTGTAGTCATTCATGCCATGTAACACTCCGCTTATCAGAGTAAATTTTTCACAACTTTTTTTTCGAAAATACTTATAAATTTTTCGAAATATTTTGCTCTAAACTCGGGATGTTACTCAACTTTATCTTTTTTTAAAATTCGTTTATCTTTAAACTTTGTTTAACTTACTGGTTTAGACATAAAGAAAACAGATTTAGTTAAACTCGCATGTAAACTGAACCATATTCATACTAATGAAATGATTAAAGTCTGAAATATGAAATTTAATAACATGCAAGTTCAAGTCTTGATATGCGTAGCGGAAATACTTAAAAAGGTGAATAATTATACAGACATAGTAGTTCATAAATTAAATGTCCACAAGTGCATGACCATCACCACCACATCCGAGCTCACACCTCCGGCCCGACCTTGTTACCTGAAAAACACAATGGGGGTGAGTACTGGTCCTTTTGTACCCCAAAATAACCCATACTAAAGTAAACAACAATAATAATAATACAATATCATAATCGTTGGTATATATCTGGACTGGAAATCTGTTCCAATAACTGAAACTGAATCTGTAATCTGGCCGATATCTGATCGGATACGTGTGCACACTCTGATGGATATTTCTAAGGCAACTAATGGCCTCCATCAGAACTTAGGATGTACTTGTTAAGGCAACTAGGAGCCTTCATCCCAAGCGTATAAGCTGTATACATACCTCGGACATGATATCATATTATAGTCAATTTAATACGCAGGCTGGGTCCCCACCTTTTTTCTTTTGAAAACTCGTAAGTGCTGAATTGTAATGCCTCGTTTGATTATTGAATATTTGGGAATTATTTATCATTATTTATTATTATGATTATTATTATTCATCTTTATTTGTTGAATACTAAATATTATTAAATGTCTAAAATGATTATTTGTCAATTTGCGATTAAATGTCTAATTGTCTAAATGATATTTATTTGTCAAATTGTAATTAAATGCTTAAATGTTTACTTATAATGTGTGTATTTGTATTATTATTAATATTATTATGTGATATTTAATTTTGTGTATTATTATATAAATAAAATCCGGTTTATTTATTTTATCGTGCGATTTAATTTTCGAACCGAACCGAATTAATGCTACGTCTAGTCGGGCCCGAGAGCCGAATCGTTTCTTTGAGCCTCACCTGAACCGGACCCTCGTGCCAAACCCGACCCGTATTCCCGTTAGTGCTCGTGTGGGTGTATTTCTTGTACATCAAGAGTTTTATTTAACCTAGTATATATATTTTATCCTCTCGCTCGATCAGAGAAACTCAACCCCGCAACTTTCTTTTATTTTGATCTGTTTCTCCTCCTTCACAAACGCCCGCAGTCAGAATCTCTTCCTCTCGCACGATCAAATCTCACGCTCATCTCGCTCTCTCGATCTTAATCGTTCCCCCGCAGACACGCAGCCGGTCCCTGTTACCCCAAAAGCCGTCAACTTGTGTTGAATGGGAG